TTTTAGCATTTTTTGAGACAGATAAAACTTTATTTGGGTGGTATTTATTCACCACTGGGATTTTTATTTTTTACGCTATATAAATGAAAAAGTCCCAAAAATTTGAAAAAGGTGTTTTTCTTATAAAATTTTGCAAATAAATAATCTTTCTTCATCAACACCCTCTCAACCTGTCCTCACCGGCTCTTCTCCACTTTCAAATCCCTGCTCTCTCCTCCCCCACCTCCACCTCACTCACCGCCCACGAGATTGACTATCATTTCCAAAACAAGATTGACGCAATCCGTAAGAACATTGTCAACTCACAATCTATCTCTCCACCTAGCCCCCCCTCCCTCCATCAACCCCTCAACCCTCCCCTCCTCCGACCTCATAGCCGCACTACCCCCCACTATACCTAACGCCTTGCACACTATCACCTCCCCAACACTCCACTCCTTCAGCCCAGCTACCACTGAGGAGGTCTCTAAGGTCTTCACTGAAGCCGCCTCACCACCTGCCCCCTGGACCCTATCCCCTCACAGCTCCTCCAGTCACCCCCCCCTCCATCATTCGCTCCCTCACCCACATCTTTAATCTCTCCCTCTCCACTGGCACTTTCCCCTCCCCTCTAAAGCATGCGCACATCACCCCCATACTCAAAAAAAACCCTCCCTTGACCCCAGTGACCTAAACAACCTTAGACCCATCTCCCTGCTACCATTCACTTCCAAGCTCCTTGAGCGCCTGGCCTACAATCGCCTAAGCGCCCACCTCACTGATAACAACCTCCTTGATCCAGTACAGTCATAAAGGCTGTAAAAGCAATAATTTCTCTTTCTCTCTGGCTGCATTCTTGCAGCCATTGAGAAATACTGTGAGAGCTGTGATTGGTCACAGCTTGTCACATGATACAAGGCTGTTGTGAATAGCCTTGTACCATGTGACCTCTGTTATCATTCACAGATTTCACAAGTAGTAAGCAATGATGTGCCGAATACAGATAGCCGAATGACAGCTTCACGGCGGCCATCCAATTCCGGTATATATCTCATATGACGTCCTACAGAGCGCGCCCTCCCGCAAGTCCCCGGGTGCACGCCCCCTATCTTCATGATCACTGTGTTTCTATGTACACAGCTGATCACGTGATGTGGTAAAAGGCCACTGTGATTGATGATCAGTGCCCAGCAGTGCCACCCACCAGTGCCTCCCATCTGTGCCCAGCAGTGCCGCTCACAAGTGCCCAGCAGTGCCACCCATCAGTGCCGCCCAGCAGTGCCGCCCATCAGTGCCACCAGTCAGTGCCCAGCAGTGCCACCAGTCAGTGCCCAGCAGTGCCGCCAGCCAGTGCCGTCAGTGCCACACATCAGTGCCGGCTGTCAGTGCCCATCATTGTTGCATATCAGTGCCATCTCATCAGTGCCGCCTATCAGTGCCCATCATTGTTGCATATCAGTACCAGCTCATCAGTGCAGCCTATCAGTGCCACCTCATCAGTGCCTCCTATCAGTGCCCATCAGTGCCTCCTATCAGTGCCCATCAGTGCTGTCTATCAGTGAAGCCTCATCAACGCACATCAGTGAAGGAGATAAATGACCTGTTTGCAAAATTTTATAACAGAAACAAAGAAAAACTTTTTTTTTCAAAATGTTTGCTCTTTTTTTGTTTATAGAGCAAAAAATAAAACACCCAGTGGTGAGTACATACCACCAAAAGAAAGCTCTATTTGTGTGAAAAAAATAATACAAATTTAATTTGGGTGCAGTGTTGCATGGCCGAGCAATTGTCACTCAAAGTGTGACAGCGCTAAAAGCTGAAAATTGGCCTGGGCACAAAGGGGGTATAGGTACTTGGTAGGCAAGTGGTTAAACTTTAACTGTTTAAAAAAATAAAAGTAAAAATAATAATAAATAAAAAGTACAAATCCTGAAAAAAAGTAAAAATTTTAAAAACCAAAAATAGTTTTTTCTTGTTTGTTGTCATTGTTACTGGTCTACTGTTACACTTTTACTGTTTTTTTCTTACTGTTTTATTGTTAACCATTGCTGTTTTCTTTGCAGCAATGCTTTCCGCATAATGCATCAACCTATTTATTCTGACAGCAACAGGAACTTGCTCTCAGAACACACATCAGTCAGTGTGGGCAGTGCTGTTGGATGAGATTTTTCATCCACAGTTAAAAAAGCATATATGCCGAAGCATGGGGGCCTGGGATGGCCAGTGGGTGGATGGCCCCTATGCTTCGGCATATATATATTTTTATAATATTTTTTGGCACATTTCATGTGTGCCCACCATTAGAAGTGGGTGGATGCAGGGATGTATATTCTAATGGTGGGAATACCACACGCTTTTCCTGGCAGAGATATTTCAATATAAAAGTTGTTCTATTGAGTTACAGTTTTATTGTTAACCATTGCTCTTTTGTTTGCAGGAATGTCATTCAACTGCAGTATCGACTTGTTTATTCTGACAGCAACAAGGTCTTGCTCTTAGAATATACTTAAATAGGTGTTTGCAGTGCTGTTGGATGAGATTTTTCATCCGCAGTTAAAAAAAAGAGTATACAGTTGCAGTTAAGAATATTGCAGCACGTTTGAAGTTTGCAAAAGAGCACCTGGATGTTCCACAGCACTACTGGCAAAATATACTGTGGACAGATGAAACCAAGATTGAGTTGTTTGGGGAGAACACACAACACTATGTGTGGAGAAAAAAAGGCACAGCACACCAACATCAAAACCTCATCCTCACTGTAAAACATTGTGGCAGAGGGAGCATCATGGTTTGGGGCTGCTTTGCTGCCTCAGGGCCTGGACGGGTTGTTGTCATTGATGGGAAAATGAATTCCAGAGTTTATCAAGACACTTTGCAGGAAAACGTATGACCATCTGTCCGCCAACTGAAGGATGGGTGATGCAACAGGTTAATGACCCAAAGCATACAAGTAATTCAACAAAACAATGGCTGCAACAGCACAGAATACGCCTTCTGGAGTGGCCCAGTCAGAGTCCTGACCTCAACCCGATTGAAATGCTGTGGCGTGACCTTAAGAGAGCGATTCACACAAGACATCCCAAGAATATTGCTACACTGAAACAGTTTTGTGAAGAGTGGTTCAAAATTACTCCAGATCATTGTGCAGGTCTGATTTGCAACTACAGGAAACGTTTGGTTGAGGTTATTGCTGCCAAAGGAGGGTCGACCAGTTATTAAGTCCAAAGGTTCACATACTTTTTCCTCCCTGCACTGTGAATGTTTACATGTTATGTGCAATTAAACCGTGGCAACATCTAATGTTTGTGTAGTATTATGTTCAGCAGACTGTGTTCTTCTATTGTTGTGACTTAGATGACGTTCAGAGCACATTTTATGCCCAATTCATGCAAAACTCCACGTAATCCCAAGGGGTTCACATACTTTTTCTTGCAACTGTATATGCCGAAGCATGGGGGCCTGGGGTGGCCAGTGGGTGGATGGCCCCTATGCTTCGGCATATATATTTTATAATATTTGTTGGCACATTTCATGTGTGCCCACCATTAGAAGTGGGTGGATGCAGGGAGGTATATTCTAATGGTGGGCATACCACATACTTTTTCTGGCAGAGATTTCTTCTCTTATTTTCATTCGGCCCACAGGCTGCATTAAAAAAAATAACAGCATATACACCCAACAAGGAACGGCAACGTACTGGTACATCACTGAACTTTGAGTGGTTATACCAGGATGATGTCAACAGCTGCAGGCATCATCCTGGTATTGTTTTTATCAGTTGGCAATCGGCTTTCATGTAAAAGCAATCGTAGTGGCTAATTAGCTGCAGGATTGCTTTTACAAGCAGCTGAAGATGCCCCACTGCCTTCCACGGCCTTCTCGGGCAGTCCTGTGCCATCGGGGGAACCTAAGAATATAGCCGGTGTTTCTGCCAGTTGACCATAAAGCTGATTGGAGTCTGGAATGGTGCCAATCATCTCTATAGTCTAAGAAATCAGTAGCTACTAGCATTTCATCACTTAAGTTTCGCAGGATATAAACAGCGCCATTTGTAAATTGGGAAAGCATCTGATCACACCAATCTTGGTGAGATTAGATAATGTAAGGGCAGAGGAGATATCTAGAGTCTGATAGACTCCAGATTTCCCAAAAAATAATATATATGACAATAACCATTGAAGTTATAGGAGATACGGTATTTACATTCCCTGTGATAGCATTAAAAGTGATAAAAAAAAATGAAAGGGACAGTGTAAAAATAATTAAAAAAACAAAATAGCTTAGGAAAAAAAGAAAACCCTCGCCTCCCCACATGAGCGCACCTGTGTGTGCGAGCGTTGACCCTGTGTCAGTATGTAAACAGCAGTTGCACCATGCATGTGAGGTATTGCCACGAATGTCAGATCAAGGGCAGTAATTCTAGCACTAGACCTCCTCTGTAAATCTAAAATGGTAGCTTTTAAAGGCTTTTAAAGCGTTGCCTATGGATATTAAAAATGTATGCAGTTTGTCACCATTGCACGGGGCATGCACAGTTTTAAAGCATGTCATGTTTTGTCATGTTTGGTATCTATTTACTTGGCATACCATTATCTTTTATATTTTACCAAATAATTGGTATCTATTTACTCAACATAGCATCCTCTTTTAAAAGTTACCCAATAACTGGCCAATATATTGTGTTTTTGTGCATTAAAATAAAAAAAGTGTATTTTTAAAAAAAATAGTGTTTGAAAAATCGCTGCACGAGTACTATGAGACATAAAAAATTGCAGTACCCACCATTTTATTCACTAGGGCAGGGGTCCTCAAACTTTTTAAACAGGGGGCCAGTTCACTGTTCCTCAGACCGTTGGAGGGCCGGACTATAGTTTAAAAAAAAAAAACTATGAACAAATGCGGACACAGTACAGGAGATGACCAGAGACTGCGGACATACAACGGCGGCGGGAATACTGGGCCAGCCGCTCCATAAGACGCACAGACATTTCCCCCCAAGTGTGTCTTATGGAGCGAAATAGTGCCCCATTATTGGTGTCAGTGGGAGGAATAGTGCCCCATCATTGGTATCAGTGGGAGGAATAGTGCCCCATCATTGGTGTCAGTGGGAAGAATCATGCCCCATCATTAGTGTCAGTGGGAGGAATAGTGCCCCATCATTGGTGTCAGTGGGAAGAAACGTGCCCCATCATTGGTGTCAGTGGGAGGAATAGTGCTCCATCATTGGTGTCAGTGGGAGGAATAGTGCCCCATCACTGGTGTCAGTAGGAGGAATAGTACCCCATCATTGGTGTCAGTGGGAGGAATAGTACCCCATCATTGGTGTCAGTTCGAGGAATAGTGCCCCATCATTAGTGTCAGTGGGGGGAGAAATAGTGCCCTATTATTGGTGTCAGTGGGGGTAGGAATAGTGCCCCATCGTTGGTGTCAGTGTGGGAAGGGGATAGTGTCCCAACATTGGTGTCAGTGGGAGGAATAGTTTCCCATCATTGGTATCAGTGGAAAGAATAGTGCCCCATCTTTGGTGTCAGTGGGAAGAATAGTGCCCCATCTTTGGTGTCAGTGGGAGGAATAGTACGTCATTGGTGTCAGTGGAGGGGAATAGTGCTCCGTCACTGGTGTCAGTGGGAGGAATAGTACGTCATTGGTGTCAGTGGGGAGGAATAGTGTCCCATCATTAGTGTCAGTGGGAAGAATAGTTCCCCATCTTTGGTGTCAGTGGGAGGAATAGTACGTCATTGGTGTCAGTGGGAGGGATAGTGTCCCAACATTGGTGTCAGTGAGAGGAATAGTGTTCCATCGTTGGTGTCAGTGGGAGGAATAGTGTCCCATCATTGGTGTCAGTGAGGGGGATAGTGCCCCATCATTGGTGTCAGTGGGGGAAGGAATAGTGTTCCATCGTTAGTGTCAGTGGGGGGTGGAATAGTGCCCCATCGTTGGTGTCAGTGGGGGGAGGAATAGTGCCCCATCGTTGGTGTCAGTGGGGGGTGGAATAGTGCCCCATCGTTGATGTCAGTGGAGGGAAGAATAGTGCCCCATCGTTGGTGTCAGTGGAGGGAGGAATAGTGCCCCATCGTTGGTGTCAGTGGGGGGAGGAATAGTGCCCCATCGGTGTCAGTGGAGGGTGGAATAGTGCCCCATCGTTGGTATCAGTGGGAAGAATAGTGCCCCATCGTTGGTGTCAGTGGGGGGAGGAATAGTGCCCGATCGGTGTCAGTGGGGGGGAGGAATAGTGCCCCATCGTTGGGCCATAGTTTGAGGACCCCTGCACTAGGGTGTCTGCTTTAAAAATATATAATGTTTGGGGGGTTCAAAGTAATTTTCTAGCAAAAATACAGAATTTTTTCATGTGAACAAAAAGTGTCAGAAAAGGCTTGGTCTTCAGGTGATTAGAAAAGTGAGTGATGTGTGGCATAAACTTCTAAAATGCCCCACCCCCCCCCCCCCCCCCCCCCAAATGACCCCTTTTTGGAAAGTAGACACCCCAAACTATTTGCTGAGAGGCATGCTGAGTCAATAGAAGAATTTATTTTTTTTACCACAAGTTTTTGGAAAATGACAAAAATAAATGTTTTCTTTTACACAAAATTGCCATTTAAATAATTTATTGATCACACATGCCATGGGTATATGTGGAATTACTCACAAAAATACATTCTGCTACTTCTCCCGATTATGGAGATACCACACGTGAGAGACTTTTTGGCAATCTAGCAACCAGTGGTGGTGGTGCTCCTATCACCGCTGAGCACCTTCCAGGTCCTCCCTAACCCCCCCTCCCTAACCTTCTCCTCCTTCGAGGCTCACTGCATCCGGCTCTTCACCCCCACCCCCCCTAAGGATCGCAGTGATCTACATGCCTCCCGGATCCATGCCCCGCTTCCTGGATGACTTCGCTGCCTGGCTTCCCTTCTTCCTCTCCTCTGAGCTACCGACTATCATCCTTGGGGACTTTAATATCCCCATGAACGACAACAACCCGGCTACTTCCCAACTCCTCCACCGAACCTCCTCCTTCGCGCTCACACAGTACACTCAATCCTCCACCCACATCAATGGGAACACCCTGGACCTCGTCTTCTCCCACCTCTGTACCCTCAACCATTTCACTAACACCCCCTTCCCTCTCTAAGACCACCACCTCCTCACGTTCTCCATCTCCCCTTCCCCTAACTCCCCCCCCCCCAGAGCGCCAAACCATCACCAGCCGTAACTTCTGCAACCTGAACCCGGCCCCCCTCCACTCGGCTGCCGACCGCCTACACGACAGCATCCTTACACTGTCATGTCCTGACCTAACCACCATCACGTACAACGACTCACTATCAGCTACCCTAGACTCTCTGGCACCCCTAACCACACGCAACATTAAACCTAGACCACTCCAACCATGGCATAACGACCATACTAAATGCCTCAAACGTCCCAGTCGCACGCTGGAGAGACTATGGCGCAAAACCAGGTCCCCTCGTGCGTTCTCCCTCTACAAATCTGCCTTCCTCACTTACACCTCCTCCCTCCACGCCGCCAAGCAGGCCTTCTTCGTAAACCTGATCAACACCCTCTCCACCTGCCCTCGCCGACTCTTCTCCACCTTCAACTCCCTACTCTCTCCCCCCCCTCCTCCACTCAGTACCTCGATTACCGCCCACGAGATTGCCACTCATTTCCACAACAACAGATTGATGCAATCCATAAGGACATAGTCAACTCCCAATCTACCTCCCCACCTAGCCTCCCCCCCCCATCTCCCCCTCATCTCTTCCCTCCTCTGACCTCGCAATCGCACTGCCCCCCACCACACCCAAGGCCCCGCTTACCGTAACCCCCCCAGCACTGCACTCCTTCAGCCCTGCTACCACTGAGGAAGTCATCAGGGTATTCTCAGAAGCCCGCCTCACTACCTGCCCCCTGGACCCTATCCCCTCCCAACTCCTCCGGTCACCCCCTCTTCCCTCATCCGCTCCCTCACCCACATCTTCAATCTCTCCCTCTCTACCGGTGTATTCCCCTCCCCCCTAAAGCATGCGCACATCACCCCAATACTCAAAAAGCCCTCCCTGGACCCCACTGACCCAAACAACCTCAGACCCATCTCCCTGCTGCCACTCACTTCCAAGCTCCTTGAGCGCTTAGTCTACGACCGCCTAAGTGCCCACCTAACTGACAACAATCTCCTTGATCCACTACAGTCCGGCTTCCGTCCCCTACACTCCACTGAAACCGCCCTCCTCAAAATCACCAACGACCTACTTAACGCCAAAGCCAAAGGCGACTACTCTGTCCTCCTTCTCCTGGACCTCTCCGCGGCCTTCGACACTGTTGACCACCCCCTCCTTCTTAATAAACTACTCTCCCTTGGCATCAGAGACACCGCTCTCTCCTGGTTCTCCTCTTACCTATCCCGACGCTCCTTCAGCGTTTCCTACAACGGTGCCACCTCCCCTTCCCTCCCCCTCTCTGTTGGGGTCCCCCAGGGCTCCGTCCTTGGACCCCTTCTCTTCTCCATCTACACCTCCTCCCTTGGCAGACTCATACACTCCCACGGCTTCAACTACCACCTCTACGCTGATGACACTCAAATTTACCTCTCCACCCCTCACCTCACTCCCACATTCTCCGCCCGCATCACTCACCTCCTAAACGACATCTCAGACTGGATGTCGCTCCATTTCCTCAAGCTTAACCTCTCCAAAACCGAGCTTCTCATATTTCCCCCTGCCCGCGCCCCCCCCCATCCTATCCATCACTACCAACAACACCACCATTAATCCCGCCCCGCAAGCCAAAGTCCTTGGCGTCATTCTGGACTCAAACCTTTCCTTTCAACCTCATGTCAACTCACTTACAAACACATGCAGGCCCCACCTCCGCAACATCGCCAAGATACGCTCCCTCCTTACCCCAGACACCACTAAGCTACTCGTTCACTCCCTGATTATCTCACGCCTTGACTACTGCAACTCCCTCCTCACCAGCCTACCCCAGTGCAGGCTCTCCCCGCTTCAGACCATCTTGAACTCAGCGGCTAGACTCATCCACCTCACCAACCGCTCCACCTCTGCCACCCCCCTCTGCCTATCCCTCCACTGGCTCCCTATTGCCCAACGCATCAAATTCAAACAACTCACTCTGATCTACAAAGCCATTCACAACACTGCCCCTAACCAACTCACCAACCTGATTCCCAGGTACCACCCTACCCGTACCCTTCGCTCTTCACAGGACCTCCTTCTATCTCGTTCCCTGGTCTCCTCCTCCCACGCACGACTGCAAGACTTCTCCAGGTCCTCCCCCATCCTCTGGAACTCACTACCCCAATCCATCAGACTGTCATCTTCCCTCCTCACCTTCAGGCGCTCCCTGAAAACCCACCTCTTCAGGGAAGCCTACCCCACCCTCACCTAACAGCCGTTCTCCTTCATACCTCCTACCACTCCATCCCCCACAGCCATTTCCTCCTGTACCACTACCCCCTCCCTCCTAGATTGTAAGCTCGAAAGAGTAGGGCCCTCTAACCCCTCATGTGCTGTTTGTAGTTGCTGTACTGTTTCATGTATTGTCCCCCCCTCTATTGTACAGCGCTGAGCAAACCCTTTGGCGCTATATAAACTCGATGTAATAATAATAATAAGTACAGGACCCCAAAATTCAATAAGCACCTTCAGGCTTTTAAAGGATTTTTTCTTCCTCATTACACTTCCTGACTACCTATCACAGTTTTGGAGGCCCTGAATTGCCAAGATAGCACCAAACCTCTTTTTGGAAAGTAGACACCCCAAGGAATTTGATAAAAAGCATTGTGAGTATTTTGCAGATTTTGTTTGTTGCCACAAGTTTTTGGAAAATTAAGAAAGAAAACAAAAACATTTTTTCCTTTTTTTTTTTTTATATTTCAAAACCTTGTGAGAAAAAATGAGATCACCATACCTCTTTAAAAATTCCTTGGGGTGTCTACTTTCCAAAAAGAGGTCATTTGGGGGGGGTTGGTGCTATCCTGGCATTTCAGGGCCTCCGAAACTGTGATAGGTAGTGAGAAAGTAAATGAGGAAGTTACGCACATTCAGGCTTTCAAAGTGGTCATTGGATTTCAGGCTCTTGTATGTGGCTAGGCTCCCATAAAGTCTCACACATGTGGTATCCACATACTCGGTAGAAGTAGCAGAATTTTGTGAGCAATATATATTTTAAGTGACAACTTTGTGTAAAAAAAAAAAAAAAACGTTTTTGTCATTTTCCAAAAAAGTGTGGAAAAAAATAAATCTTCCATGGACTCAATATGCCTCTCAGCAGATAGCTTAGGGTGTCTACTTTCCGAAAAGGGGTAATTTGGGGGTGTTTGTACTGTCCTGGTATTTCAGCACCTCAAGAAATGTGATAGGCAATCAAAAAGTAAATATAAATGAAGGTAATATGGTGCAGCGCTAAAAGAGTGAAAATTAAAGACAGTCAAAAGTCAATGTAGCAATATCCGTGATTCCTTAAATAGGATGCAGACTTCCAAAGCTCTTGCGGCCTTAAATAATAGCAATGCGCACTCACCAGAAACGCATGGATTATGCGCATGTAGGAATA